ATTCTTCTCTAGTGCACATGGAACATTCTCCAGAATAGATCACATCCTCGGTCCTAAATCAGGTCTCAACAAGTATCAAAAGATTGGGATCATTCCCTGCATATTTTCAGACCACAATGCTCTGAAGCTAGAACTCAATCACAAGAGGAAATTTGGAAAGAACCCAAATACATGGAGTCTAAACAGCATCCTTCTTAAAGAATGAATGGGTCAACCAGGAAATTAAAGAAGAATTGAAAAAATTCATGGAAACAAATGATAATGAAAACACAATGGTTCAAAATCTGTGGGACACAGCAAAGGCAGTCCCGAGAGGAAAATATATAGGGGTACAAGCCTTTCTCAAGAAACAAGAAAGGTCTCAGGTACACAACCTAACCCTACACCTAAAGGAGCTGGATAAAGAACAAGAAAGAAACTCTAAACTCAGCAGGTGAAGAGAAATCATAAAGATCAGAGCAGAAATCAATGAAATAGAAACAAAAAAAAAAAAAAAAAAACAAAAACAATAGAACAAATCAACGAAACTATGAGCTGGTTCTTTGAAAGAATTAATAAGATTGATAAATCCCTGGCCAGACTTATCAAAAAGAAAAGGGAAAGGACCCAAATAAATCATGAATGAAAGAGGAGAGATCACAACTAACACCAAAGAAATACAGACAATTATAAGAACATACTATGAGCAACTCTATGCCAACAAATTTGACAATCTTGAAGAAATGGATGCATTCCTAGAGACATATAAACCACAACTGAACTAGGAAGAAATAGAAAGCCTGAACAGACCCATAACCAGTAAGGAGATTGAAACAGTCATCAAAAACCTCCAAACAAACAAAAGCCCAGGGCCAGACGGCTTCCCGGAGGAATTCTACCAAACATTTAAAGAAGAACTAATTCCTATTCTCCTGAAACTGTTCCAAAAAATAGAAATGGAAGGAAAACTTCCAAACTCATTTTATGAGGCCAGCCTCACCTTGATCCCAAAACCAGACAAGGATCCCATCAAAAAAGAGAACTACAGACTAATATCCTTGATGAACACAGATGCAAAAATTCTCACCAAAATACTAGCCAATAGGACTCAACAGTACATTAAAAGGATTATTCACCACGACCAAGTGGGATTTATTCCAGGGCTGCAAGATTGGTTCAACATCTGCAAATCAATCAATGTGATACAGCACATTAATAAAAGAAAGAACAAGAACCATATGATACTCTCCATAGATGCTGAAAAAGCATTTGACAAAGTACAGCATCCCTTCCTGATCAAAACTCTTCACAGTGTAGGGATAGAGGGCACATACCTCAATATTATCAAAGCCATCTATGAAAAACCCACCGCAAATATCATTCTCTATGGAGAAAAACTGAAAGCTTTTCCGCTAAAGGTCAGGAACACGGCAGGGATGTCTGTTATCACCACTGCTATTCAACATAGTAATAGAAGCCCTAGCCTCAGCAATCAGACAACAAAAGGAAATTAAAGGCACCCAAATCGGCAAAGATTATGTCAAACTATCACTCTTCATAGATGATATGATACTATATGTGGAAAACCCAAAAGACTCCACTCCCAAACTGCTAGAACTTGTACAGGAATTCAGTAAAGTGTCAGGATATAAAGTCAATGCACAGAAATCAGTTGCATTTCTCTACACCAACAACAAGACAGAAGAAAGAGAAATTAAGAGTCAATCCCATTTACAGTTGCACCCAAAACTCTAAGATACCTAGGAATAAACCTCACTAAAGAGGCCAAGAATCTATTCTCAGAAAACTATAAAGTACTCATGAAAGAAATTGAGGAAGACACAAAGAAATGGAAAAATGTTCCATGCTCCTGGATTGGAAGAATAAATATTGTGAAAATGTCTATGCTACCTAAAGCAATCTACACATTTAATGCAATTCCTATCAAAGTACCATCCATTTTTTTCAAAGAAATGGAACAAATAATCCTAAAATTTATATGGAACCAGAAAAGACCGCGAATAGCCAAAGGAATATTGAAAAAGAAAGCCAAAGTTGGTGGCATCACAATTCTGGACTTCAAGCTCTATTACAAAGCTGTCATCATCAAGACAGCATGGTACTGGGACAAAAACAGACACATAGATCAATGGAACAGAATAGAGAGCCCAGAAATAGACCTCAACTCTATGGTCAACTAATCTTCGACAAAGCAGGAAAGAATGTCCAATGGAAAAAAGACAGCCTCTTCAATAAATGGTGTTGGGAAAATTGGACAGCCACATGCAGAAAAATGAAATTGGATCATCTCCTTACACCACAACATGAAAATAGACTCAAAATGGATGAAGGACCTCAATGTGAGAAAGGAATCCATCCAAATCCTTGAGGAGAACACATGCAGCGACCTCTTTGACCTCAGCCGCAGCAACATCTTCCTAGGAACATCGCCAAAGGCAAGGGAAGCAAGGGCAAAAAGGAACTATTGGGATTTTATCAAGATCAAAAGCTTTTGCATAGCAAAGGAAACAGTTAACAAAACCAAAAGACAACTGACAGAATGGGTGAAGATATTTGCAAACGACATATCAGATAAAGGGCTACTGTCCAGAATGTATAAAGAACTTAGCAAACTCAACACCCAAAGAACAAATAATCCAATCAAGAAATGGGCAGAAGACATGAACAGACATTTCTGCAAAGAAGACATCCAGATGGCCAACAGACACATGAAAAAGTGCTCCATATCACTCGGCATCAGGGAAATACAAATCAAAACCACAATGAGATACCACTTCACACCAGTCTGAATGGCTAAAATTAACAAGTCAGGAAATGACAGATGCTGGCGAGGATATGGAGAAAGGGGGACCCTCCTACACTGTTAGCGGGAATGCAAGCTGGTGCAACCACTCTGGAAAACAGCATGGAGATTCCTCAAAATGTTGAAAATAGAACTACCCTATGACCCAGCAATTGCACTGCTGGGTATTTACCCTAAAGATACAAACGTAGTGGTCCGAAGGGGCACGTGCACCCGAACATTTATAGCAGCAATGTCTACAATAGCCAAACTATGGAAAGAACCTAGAAGTCCATCAACAGATGAATGGATAAAGAAGATGGGGCATATATACACAATGGAATACTATGCAGCCATCAAAAGAAATGAAATCTTGCCATTTGCGACAACGTGGATGGAACTAAAGGGTATCATGCTTAGCAAAATAAGTCAATCGGAGAAAGACAACTATCATGATCTTCCTGATATGAGGGAGAGGAGATGCAACATGGGGGTTAAGGGGATAGGAGAAGAGTAAATGAAGCAAGATGGGATTGGGAGGGAGATAAACCATAAGTGACTCTTAATCTCACAAAACAAACTGAGGGTTGCTGGGGGGAGGGGCGTTGGGGGGGTGGGGTTAGTATGGACATTGGGGAGGGTATGTGCTATGGTGAGTGTGGTGAAGTGTGTAAACCTGGCGATTTACAGACCTGTACCCCTGGGGAAAAAAAAATATGTTTATAAAAAATAAAATTAAAAAAAAAAAGGAAGTGAAAAAAAAAAGAAATATACTTTGGAAAAATATATACATAAGTAAATTCTTTTTTTTTTTTTTAAGATTTTATTTATTTATTTGACAGAGAGAGCTCACAAGTAGACAGAGAGGCAGGCAGATAGAGAGGGGGGAAGCAGGCTCCCCGCTGAGCAGAGAGCCCGATGCGGGGCTCTATCCTAGGACCCTGGGATCATGACCTGAGCCGAAAGCAGAGGCTTTAACCCACGGAGCCACCCAGGCGCCCCCAAAAAGTAAATTCTTAAAACCAAAGTAGAATGGTGGTTACCAGGGACAGGGCAGAGAGGGAAAGGGGATATTGTTTAATGTGTATAGTTTCAGTTCTGCAAGATGAGAAAGTTCTGGAGATCTGTTTTGCAACAATGTGAGTATATTTAACACTACTGAACTATTCATTTAAAAAGGTTAAGATGGTATATTTTATGTGATTATTTTTTTAAGTCACAGTAGTTATTAGAAGCAAATCCTCACCTGGTCAATGTAGTCTGTTTTCTGTAAATAAACTTTCTGAATGAAAAATGTACCCAGAAATCTACAATAATGAAGCCTAGCAATATTTATGGCCCACTGTCTTAGTGAATGATGTTTCCTTGGAAGTCATAATAGCAGGGTGCCTAGGTTGTTCAGTTGGTTAAGCATCTAACTGTTGGTTTCAGTTCAGGTACTGATCTCAGTGTGGTGGGATGGAGCCCCAAGTCCAGCTTGTGCTCAATGAGGAGTCTACTTGGGATTCTATCCCTCTCTGCCTCTCCCCCTGCTCATGCTCAAGTGCTCCCTCTCTCTCAAATAAATAAATAAATAAATAAATCTTTAAAAAAAAAGTCAGGATAGAGTAGGATAAAAGATCAGTCATTTGAAAAATGTATATTCAATTGTGATAAAATCAGAACTCTGAGTTAGCTAGATGAACATAGCATTATCATGTCATTATTGTTGATGATTTGGCATTTTAGGGAAGCTAATATGACAATTATATTCTATGTCCTTAATGCTATGCTTAGTTAACAAATGGAAAACATCTCATGCAAAGAGAGATATATAATAGGGGTAAAGTCATTAAGGAAGCATACTCATAATACTCATTTACCCCTTTGTCCATTAATATTAATCTCTTCCATGAAGTCTTTCATTTTAACTTTTTTTTTAAAGATTTTATTTATTTGTCAGAGAGAGAGAGTACAGACAAGCAGGCAGAGAGGCAGGCAGAGAGAGAGGAGGAAGCAGGCTCCCTGCCAAGCAAAGAGCCCACTGCGGGACTCGACCCCAGGACCCCAGGATCATGACCTGAGCTGAAGGCAGCGGCTTAACCAACTGAGCCACCCAGGCGTCCCTCATTTTAACTTTTAACATGCACAAGAGTCACCTCATTTGATTGAACTTCTCTCCGCCCCCTCCACTTATAGTGGGAGTGCTAATGAATAATGAAGTGGCTGAAAATAATCACTAACTGACTAGTAAATGATGGAACATCAGCTGTGTCATAACAGTTTGCTATAACTAAATGTGAGTGATGTGGATCGCATCTCAGGAATATTAACATCATATTGCGATGTAATGATTTATAAAAAATACATATATGGTGTTGACTAAGAAGAAGAAGAAGAAGCTATAAAGCAACTAAAAGCATTTAATTGGGGTCCTAGGGATCACAATCTAAGAGACACAGACACCTGAAATTAAAAGTGTGCTCTGAATTGCAAGTAGAGTACAGTCTTATAAAGGCAAAAATCATAGGTTTATATAATTTGTTTTGGAAGAATTATGATTGGTGTTGGCAGAGTTTAAACTGGCTGCCTAGTAACACAATTGGCTACTTAGCTACTGATACAGCATTATCTATCTTAGTCCAGAGTAGAAGGATGTGTTCTAGGAAGTGGTGGAGTTATAACTGACAAAAGTCAAAAGTTCATTGTGTTGGAGAAATGAAACTGGAGACAGATGGAAGCAAGAGATGTGTATAGGCCCAACCTCTTCAGTGTCCTTTTGACTATTTTAAGTGACTCTCTTGGCAATGGTTACTTAATTTTGAATCTTTCACTTTGGTCATGCAGATGATCAAAATATATTTCTCAGACATATTTGGTCTTCATCTACAATTCCTGAATATGCTTCAGAACCATAAAAGTGAAATGAGTATCTTATTATTAATGAAAGTGACTTTTGGCCCCCACCCAAGGGCAAGGGCTAATTGCCAGAAGGACCAATCATGTGAGTAGAGGCATGGAACTTCAGTCTGACTGCCTGACCACCAAGGAGGGGAGACAGACTGGAGACTCAATCAGCCAAGGACCAAAGACTTAGGCAATTATGACTATGTTATGAAACCTTCATAAAATTAAATAGTTTTTTAGCCTTTTTTTTTCTTGAGAGCTTCCATGCTTGGGGAACCAGAATGCTTCTATGTGCCACCAAGCCAAGCCCCAAGCTCCATGAGGACAGAAGCTCCTTTGAGATCTTGCCCTAAGTATTTCTTCTTTTGGCTATTGATAGGTATTTTTTATAGTATCCTTTAGTAAACTGGTAAACATAAATAAGTGTTTCCCTGGGTTCTGTGAGCCCTTATAACAAATAATTGAACCTAAGGAGGAGATTGTTGGAACTTCCAATATGTAGTTGATCAGTTGGAAGCACAAATATACAGCCTGGGGCTTACAACTGGCATCTAAAGTGAGAGTTGTAGGGGCAGTCTTGTGGGACTGAATCCTTAACCTATGTGATCTGGTGATTTCACCAGCATAGGTAGTGTCAGAATTGAGTTGAATTCTTGGACATCCTTCTGGTGTTCAAGAATTGCTTGCTATTGTATGTTAGGGCACCCCCTGTTCCCACACTGAAATTGGTCTTAGGACACCTAAAGCCATGTCATGCCAATTTGGAGGGGTCATTAGAGAACATTTAGTCTAAATACCCATCTGATGTTTAGTTCTTCTAACAGAAGATTAAGAAAAGTATCTTTACAAACAACAGTATATTCCAAATTAGTTGTCAAGTAGGTTCTTTTGCCAGTGACTTTTCATGTATTTAATAAATGGGTAATAGTCCCCAAGTGGGTAGGAAGGGGGAACTTACTGCTTGAGGAAAGATCCCATTTCATTCTTAGTTAGCTCTAACAGTTAGCCATTTTCCTCACTAGATGACACAAAACCTGTGTTTGCTTAAATTTTTCTTTCTTAGGATAAGCATTCCCAGTGTCCTTACATGTTCTTCATAAGACATTCAAGCCTAAAAAAAAATTGATCTTAATTGCTGTCCTCTAAGTATATTCCACTTAAAAAATGTTTCTTTTTAAAGTGCCTACAGTGTAATACTCAAGGTAACATTGGGTTGTTATAAGTTTAAGTAAGACTATATACTATTTTGGTTTTAGACACTTTTTTCTGTTTGAATTACTGTTGGGATTAGTAATGCTTGAAAAGAATGACAGCACAGAAAATGATCTATGTTAGTAACCAATGTTACCATGTTGTTTTTAAAAATGATTCTTGCTTTATGCTTTGTTTGCTTACTGAAACTGGTCTCTCCGTTGCCAAAACTCCAACCTGGTGGATCTTTCATCATTCTGATTTTCTCTCTTTCCTGCTGTCATAGTAATGTTTATTTTTTATGATTATAAAATTATCATTGAAGAAAAATTTAAAAATATAATAAAATTTTAGGAAAAATATGATTCATAATCATTACTCAGAGATAACCATTCATCATTTTGGGTATTTCTACTTTTATAAATGGTATGTGTGTGTATGTTGAAATATATGTAGTAGAGAAGGGATTATATTATAAATACTTTTTTACTTTATTTTTTTCTGTTAAAATTAGGTATTATATATAAATATATATCATTATAGATTTATATTATATATTATATATATAACTATATATATATTTTTATTAACATATAATGTGTTATTTGCCCCAGGGGTACAGGTCTGTGAATCATCAGGCTTACACATTTTACAGCACTCATCATAGCATATACCCTCCCCTATGTCCATAACCCAGCCACCCTAACCCTACCCCCCACCTCCCAGGAACCCTCAGTTTGTTTCATAATATATATATACACACACACACACACACACACACACAAAATATATAATATTTTTGTATTACATATAATACAAAAATATATATTTAAATGTATATATATTTTAAAAGAATTCTTTTTTTTTTTAGATTTTATTTATTTATTTGACAGAGACACAAGGAGAGAGGGAACACAAATAGGAGGAGTCGGAGAAGGAGAAGCAGACCTCCCATTGAGCAGGGAGTCTGATGCAGGGCTCGATTCCAGGACCCTGGGATCATGACCTGAGTAGAAGGCAGCTGCTTAACCGAGCCACCCAGTCACCCCTGTTAAAATTATATTTTGAACTTTCTTATTTTTAGAATGTATTCCATTTATTTATAAACCTTTTCTTATATACCAGTTCTTTAGTTGTTGTCCTTTAAGTTATTTATATTTTTGTGACCATGAATGATCCCATAATGGACATGTTTATATGCAAATGTTTATCTCTGCATCTGTGATTATTTTTTTGAATATATTTCTTGAGGGATTATTAGATCAAAAGATTTGAACATTTCTTAAGTCTCATAGGAATCTCTAAAAGATAGGGTAACCATGTAGTTGATCAGCCAAACCAGGACACTTTTACCAGGACAAATGCACAACTAACTGGACAGAACTGGAACAACAGGTTCAAACAGAGATTGGACTGAATGAAATGGGAAATAGGATCCTCCTGCTGAAAGAAAATGTGATTATTTCCTTTTAAAGTAAAATTCCTCCAGTGCTATCCCCATTAGAATTTTAAAAATCCCTCAGCATGGCTGATTTTTAATGAAGGTCATAAAAGTGTGTTATAACAATTCATTATTAAACACAAGAATTTATACTTTCTTACTCATTAGAGGTGTGTTTGTGAGTGAATGTATAACTACATTGTTAGAAATTATACACATGTGCATATACACACACAATATAAGACCTACAGTGTAACTGCATAAAATGATAAATAGACCTTAATATAACACATTTCAAAGCATTATTATAAAGAGGAAGCTTGAACTAAGTAACCAACCAACAAGTATATAAATAATGAAAGATGAAAGAACTTTATTAATCTGTCTTATCTCCCAAATAGAATGAGAAAGAAATTATACTCAACTATGGACAGTTTTTTTTTTTTAAAGATTTTATTTATTTATTTGACAGACAGAGATCACAAGTAGGCAGAGAGGCAGGCAGAGAGAGAAGGGGGAAGCAGGCTCCCTGCGGAGCAGAGAGCCTGATGCGGGGCTCGATCCCAGGACTCTGGGATCATGACCTGAGCCGAAGGCAGAGGCTTTAACCCACTGAGCCACCCAGGTGCCCCAACTATGGACAGTTTTGAAGAGATAACTTTCACACTGAAAGTGAATAAATTCTTTGGCTTTATTAATAAGAGACTCTTTAAAAGTATAATATTTAAGTATGATACAACTATTTTAATGTAGTCTTTTTCTTTAGTCTTTTGCCTTCATTCTACTTCCATTCTGTGATAAAGCATTGTCTTTGACAGAGACAGATATTTAAATACTAATTCTAAGAAGAAAATTAAATAAGACATTTTTAAAAACAACAGATTTTAAAATGGTTGCCATGAACATTCTTGGCACACATTGATATTCAGTGTATCTAACAGAGGTTCCCTGGGGTCATCTGACCCCCCCAAAAATAGTATTTTTCGTAGGAATTACATAATCACTGATAAATGTTCTTGTTCTAATTTTAATTTAATTGTGGAGCTTTATTTTTTGCTATTTATAATATATAAAGAAAGGACTTAGGGTCTATGTTTATGCAATATAATGCTGGAAGTCCTAGCCACACCAACCAGACAAGAAAAATAAATGAAAAGCATCCACATAGCTAAGGAAGAGATAAAAGTTTTACTATAAGCAGATGACATGATACTATATATAGAAAACCCAAAAGATACCACCAAAAACCTACTAGAACTAATAAATGAATTCAGGGAAGTTATAGGGCACAAAATTAATATACAGAAACCTGTTGTATTTGTATACACTAATAATGAACTAGCAAAAAGAGAAATTAAGCAAACAATCTCATTTACAATCACACCAAAAATAATAAAATATCTAGGAATAAACAACCAAAAAAATGAAAGAAAATATAAATCATAAAATTAGATGGACAGTAGCAAGAGCACTGGACAAGCAATGCTAATTTGTCTTCTTTTCTAGTCTGGACGACTTTCATTTTATTTTCTTTGCCTTATTACACTGATTAGAACTTGTAGTACGATGCTATAGAACAGTGATAAGAGCAGGCATCCTTGCCTTTTTCCTGCTCTTGGGGGAATGTTGTTCAGTCTTCTGCCATTATGTATGATGTTACCTGTAGATTTTTCCTAGGTGCTCTTTATCAGTTCAAGGAAATTCCTATTCATTCTATACTTCTGTTCATAGCCTGCTACAAATGATAATGATGATGGTGG